TAACTATTTTCTCATGCCCATTTATTTACTGCAGGGTAAACTAAACATCAGGAAAGTGCAATTAACTCCCTTAAGCCTTTCCTGTGATCAAGTCTGAATTCACTCTACTTAATGTCCACCTGCCTCATCAGACAGTAGTCTTCATCATGATAAGGATTATGTCTGTCTTATTCATTACTGCATCCCTCCTAATGACTAGCACAGGTCCTGCTATATAGTAGGCACTCAATATTTGATGAATGAATGATTGGACGATGAAGACAGAAAGAGAAGAATCTACAAAGCAAGATAAGAGAACCTGAGAGGAAGATTAAAAGGCCAAGCTTTATTTTTAAAAGAAGCAAGGAAAAAGTGAGGTAGCCAGAAAGAGAATGAGAGGCAGTAAGATAAAACTCAGCACAAACAAGCCAGATAAATATAGCCTCTTGCCACTGTCCTTTTAAAATTACTTTCTATATTTGAGCCTAAGTGACAAGTGAAATCTCCTCTGTAATTTCCCATGTGTTCAGCTAATGAATTTCCGGCAAATGGTTTTAGTATTCGAGAGCCAATTTGGATATTGTGGGGGTGGGGATGGTGAGAAAATGAGGGGTATGGAAATAGACTAATTGAGTCTAGAAACCAAATGAAGGGGTGATTGGAGGCATGTGAGGAGAGAGCCAAATTTTGGAACTTGCTCAACATCAAGAAAGCCTGGAAATTGGTTTTGCTTCTGCTGATGTCACCATGATGTTTCCCTAAGTGCCATAGAGGGAGTCAAGAATCCCAGGATGCCTTGCAACTATTCTTTGTACCATATTGCCTATCTTCTAAAGAGCTTTATTTGTTTATATGGAGAATTTTATATTAATAATTTAATTTCAACCATTGGAGAGAATGAAGAGATTCTTTCAGGTCCATATACCTTACACAGTAGGTACACTATAAAGGTTGGACAAAATAATTTTGAAAGAGTTGATCATTATGAGGGAGAGGAAGTATGGGAATGCACAATCTACCCCTTATCTATTTGTGCTGCCTACACAAATGCATTAAGTTTCTCTGTATATGGCATTAATGTGTGTTTGCTTCTTTTCGTGCTCCCCTACTGGGGACCTGGCCTACAACCCAGGCATCTGCCCTGACTGGGGATTGAACTAGTGATCCTTTGGTTTGTAAGCCATTGCTCTATCCACTGAGCCACACCAGCCATGGCTTTAACACTTTACAAAGAAACCCCATAACCTTCAGCTATAACCCCATCCCATAACCCCCCAGACCTAAACAACCCCGAATTTACTATCTGTTTCTATAGACTTTCCTAATGTGGACTTTCATATGAATGGAATCAAACAACATGTGGTCTGGCTTCTTTAATTTAATGTAATGTTTTCAAGGTTCATTCATTCTTGTTTAAGGCTAAATAATATTCCACCTGTGGATATACTATATTGTTTTATCTATTTGTCACTTAATGAATATTTGGGTTGTTTCAACCTTTCAGTTATTATGGATAGTGCTACTATGAACATTTGTGTACAAGTTTTTGTGTGGACATACGTTTTCATTTTCTTGGGTATACATACACCCAGAAGTGGAATTGCTGAGTCATAAAGTAACTATGTGTAATCATTTGAGGAACTGCTAGACTTTTTTCCAACATGGCTACACCATTTTACATTCCCACCAGCAGTGTATGACAGTTCCAATTTCTCTCTGTCCCTGCTAATCCAACTGTGCTTTTGAGAAATGATAACAACTGCAGGACCCCACTCTAACTTGGGTGGCTATTACAGAAAGCAGCAACAAGAGGAAGACAGGGATGGTGAAGCTATCTATCTTCTACTCTAAGCCCTTAGAATCAACCAGAGGGAACACTGCCTCTCTAGTACTCTCCCTGACTCCCCAGGCTAGGTTAGCTGGTTCCTGACACATGCCAACGATACCTATACTTGTATTTCTTCCCTGCTAGATTGTAAGCTTTAGTCAGGAAGTGATCTCTATTGCTGTGACTTTATCTGCAGTGCCTGAACAGGGTCTGGCAAGTGGTAAGTAGATGTTTAATAAATGTTGATTGATTGACTGACTGAACAAGTGATTAGATACAGTATTTCTCTACTGGTGTTTCCTATCCAGGTAGGAGAGGAAAAGAACAGTCTTAGGGGCAAAAGGCTTCAAGGAGGGAAGCAAGAAGGAGAGGATAGCTAGAGAAAGAGAAAGGCAAGCAAACAGGTTGGAGACCTGTTATCTCTTGGGGCCAGCCTTTCAGTTATGAGGTCAAATTCAGAACTAAGGGAACTACTCTAATTCTTTGACTTTCATCTGGTTGAATTTTTTTCTGGAATTTTTCCTTTTTTTTTGTTATTATTCCTAACAATTTTGTCTTCAAGAAACAAGTAAACAAGTAGAAAAGTAGTTATTACAGGTAGAAGACCACATAAATCAACCCACCAAAATGAATTCAGAATTTAAAAGGATGGATGTTAAGAAGGTTGAATATGAAAGATTTTTAGGAAATTATAAAACCATAATCTAGGTTTTCCTCCAAAGACACGCTGAATGGCCTATAACTAAAAATGGTATCCATCTTTTTAAAAAAGATTTTATTTATTTTTTAAAGATTTAAAAAAATTTATCTTTAGAGGAGAAGAGAAGGAGAGAAGGATGTATGGTCGCCTCTCATGCGTTCCTTGCTGGGAACTGGCCCAGCAACCCAGGCATGTGCCCTGACTGGGAATTGAACCTCGATCCTTTGGTTCGAAGACCCACACTTAATCCACTGAGCTACACCAGCCAGGGCAGATTTTATTTATTTTTAGAAAGAGGGGAAGGGAAAGAGAAAGAGAGGGAGAGAAACATCAGTATGTGGCTGCCTCTTATGTGCCCACCTACTGGGGACCTGGCTTGCAACCCAGTCATGTGCTCTAACTAGGAATTGAACTGGTGATCCTTTGGTTCCCAGGCCCATGCTCAATCCACTGAGAGCATATGCCCTAGACCAGCTAGGACATATCTTTTCAATATAACATTGCTCCGGCCCGCGGAGCAATCAACTGGGGCTCGACCACCTACCTAGAACAAATGAGTTGGGGGGACAAGAGGCGCGAAGAATGGCAGCAAGACAAAAGATTCTGATCAAGCTGCAAACTTTATTTTTCCGAACTGGGTATATATATGGGGGGAGGGGAGAGGGAGAGATTAGGTTGCTTGCTATTGGCTAGCTTGAGACAAAGAAGGGCCCGCTTATTGATTACTTGGGTGCAACTGGTACTTGTGGATACCTCATGTGCCTGTAGCTGACTGGCTTGTGGAGTGCACAGGTTCCTGTAATCAATGCAATGTTTTTAGCTAGAAGCCAGGTGTAAGGTTCCCAACATAACATGAGAACATTGCCCACCACTCAGCCTTACCCATACAGATGGCCTTCCCTCCACACAATCCTACCTTCTATCTGGACTAATCTATGAATCCAAGTTGATACCGGGTCATTGGTTCCTCTCTCCCCAAAGGCCTTGATATCTCTCTAGCCTCGATTACTTCCTATCTCTTCTGTATGCATACATACACACAAACCTCACCTTTCCTTTTTCCTGAATCCTCAGGGTAGCTCTGCCTTCTCCATTTTGTGTGTTTGGAAGGAAAGAAAGCAAAATATATGAGATGCTAATGCAATTTCTTCTTTAGTAGAGCTCCACAGGACAATTACCCACCCAATCTGCCCGGTTTTATAGCTTTCATAACCCTCCTTTATGAACACACTATGACAGTGGGATGTGGGCATTGATTATGGCAGCAGTCTTCAGCCACATTTCCTATTTAACTGCAAAGCAGAGCTCCTGCCTATCAGGCCAGCACAGATCATGTGACTTTTTTAATTACTCTATTTATGTAATCCTTTTTCCAACCACAGCGCGTGTCCGACTCCATCAAAACTGGGGAGAATTTGTGCTTGCCACTTCTCCAGTGACTCTGGCCTTCTGACATAGGGTGTCTTGCTAGAATCAGTTTAGGGCTCTGGGCTTTCTCGGCAGAGGTCTGTGAGCACAGGAAGCACATTTTTTTTCCATTACAAAAAAGCTGATAAAAGATAATAAAACATGTTGGCTGATTCCCAGAGCTTGCCTGGCAAAGGTGCCTGGTGCAATAGATCAGTAGAGCTGGTAGAATGCTGCAGAGGAGAGGACTAGAGGGGCTCTAAAATTTGGGGAATGGATTTAGGAATTACTGCTGCTGAGCCTTGCCCCTCTGGGTCCCAGCTCCACCACCTGATCAGCAGGACAGAATCATACTGACTTCAGCTAGAGGGGAAGGAAGGTTTAGTGTGCAAAAGGTATGCTAGTAATTTGGTGAGCAATCTGTCCAGACCAAGGGTGCGGCCTGTTTGATTGTGCCACGGTGCAAGTCTGGCAGAGAAAACCAGTGTTCTTTGGCTGCTGCAGTTTAGCTAAGGATCCCACTACAGGCATTAGGGATGCAGTCACGCAGGATTAGGCTCTAGGAGTGACAGGTATAATCTACACGAAAACCTACTAGGGAGATTCTGAAAACCAAGGTGACCTTTGTGGGTGGGCGATCCATTAGCTGAATTAAAGTATTGCCGGAGAAAGCCAGAAAGAGAATTTGCGTGGGAGATGGAAAAAGCGTGGGTTGAGCCTGTAGGAACCTAAAGGCGACAGGTGTGTGAGAACCGACTTCCGGGGGTGGGGGGGCGTTGGTGTAGACGGGCAGAAAGCACGGCCGCACTAGGACACACCAGGTTTTCTCTTTGGCCATTCCAAACTCAGCGGCCCTTCCATCCGTAAGTAATAAAGAGGATGGCGGTCAAATAAATGTAGTCCTTGTTCGGATTCCAACCCTTTCTCTTCTGGGGAACTAACTCCTAAAACGTGCACGCTCACCAGTGCCTCCGCACCGCTTTTTTTTTTTCTCCCCTCCCCCAACTCGGCCTTTCCTGGGCGGGGCTTCCGGGCCCGCTCACTGGGGCCCCGCCCTGAAGCCTCCCCGGGGCGGGACTTCCCTCGGAATACGGTTGTCCTTTTGCCTTGTGGCCTCTGCCGGTGCTGGAGGGGCCCAACGGAGCTCCGGACACGAGGGTGAGTAAGGGCCTGGTAGAAAGAGGCCTTAGAGGTGTACCAGGCCGGGACGAGAGACAACTGTGGGGAGACTTCTTTCTAGGTACGGGACGAAATTGGGGTTCGTTTCCTCTTGACCCCGGGTTTGAAGGGCACCTTAAAGAGACGCTGGGGCATCGTAGCTGTAGAGTCGTCCCGTTTTCTACCATCCCTCTTGTCCCTGAAGTGTCGCCTAGAGCTGGTCGCTGAGAGCCTCATTACCCAGGCACGAGGCCCGGAGACTTGAAAAGGGTTGTGAGGAACACGTGTCCGGTAGAGTTTGTCGGTTACCTCAACCCAAGCCGGTGAAAGGGGCAGGCCGTTCTTAGATTTCGTTTGTAGCCCTGGACAATGAGCCCATTGTAATTTACTTTTCCTTTACATTTATTTGGAGGCGTCCTGGCTGGTGTGGCTCAGTGGATTGAGTGCCGGCCTGCGAACCAAAGGGTTTGCCTGTTTGATTACCAGTCAGGGCACATGCCTGTGTTGTGAACCAGGTCCCCATTTGGGGGCATGTGAGAAACGACACACATTGATGTTTCTCTCCCTCCCTTTCTCTAAAATAAAAGTAAAATCTTTTAAAAACATTACTTGGAGGCAGTTAGGAGTGTAATTAAGAGATGTCTGGGAAAAGGTATGACCTTAGATACCCTAATCTTATATAAAAAAGGTAAATTAGCCCTGGCTGGCATAGCTCAGTGGATTGAGTGTGGGCCTGTGAACCAGAGTATCGAGGTTCAATTCCCAGTCAGGGCACATGCCTGGGTTGAAGACCAGTTCCCAGCAGGGGACACAGAAGGGGCAACCATACATTGATATTTCTCTCCCACTCTTTCTCCTTCCCTTCCCCTCTCTCTAAAAATAAATAAAATATTTTTTTAAAAAAAGGTAAATTATAAGGGTGAGTGGGTAGGAATGTTTATTAACATTGCAAACATTTTGGTTACTTTCAACCAATAGTCAAGGTCTTCAGCAATAATGTCAACTTGTGTTAAGTTCCTTTCAAAGTTCATGGCTCTTGCTCCACCACTGCAAAGGTAGTTGGGATGATCCTTTTCACATCCATTACTGCATACTATTATGTTTCCAAAGTGCTGCTTTTATATTTCTTAATGAGATCCCACAGTTGAGGCCCTCCAAACCTACTTTTAATCAGCTTGCCAATTTTCACTGCCCATTGGTATCCCATGGTAACTCCCCCCCCCCTTTCTTTAGCTTTTGTTTATTTATTTTTAGAAAGAGGGTGGGAGAGAGGGAGAGAAACATTGATTAGTTGCCTCTTGTTTGCCCCCAACCTGGGACCCCTAAAACCCAGGCATGTACCTGGAACCTGAATGAACCGTGACATTGCGGCTTGCAGGTTGGCACCCAACCCAGAGTCACACCAGTCAGGGCAACTTTTCCCTTCTACTCACTTGTATCCATCGTCTCCTTGCCTGCAGTGTAGATCCTGATAATAGCAAGTGTTTACTTCATGCCGCCCATTCTATACCAGATATGATCCTATGGTCATAATTTATATTCCATTTAAGCCTCCTAACCACCTTATATACAGAGTACTATTAATAACATTCTGATTTTACAAATGAGGAGGTTGAGGTAGAGACTTGTCAGCTGTTAATTGGCTGTTAAGCTTCCTGATACTTATTTACCAGACCATTTATTTGTTCCATTGAACTGCTATGGGACATAAGTAACCATAGCATGAAAATAACACTAACCAAGAGGAAGTTATTGCCTACTATTGTTTCTGTGGCTCATGCCTCACCATTTTCTTTTTTTAAGATTTTATGTATTTATTTTTAGAGAGAGGGGAAAGGGAGAAAGAGAGGGAAAGAAACATCGATTGGTTGCTTCTTGTAAGTGCCCCATCCTGAGACCGGGCCTGTAACCCAGGCATGTGACCTGACCAGGAATGGAACTCTAGCTTTGCTGGCTGACACCCAACCAAGGGAGCCACGCTGGCCAGGTCCTGTTATGGAGTTTTGAAGGCAGGAGTCTTGAACTCCACACAGGTGTTCACTAACTGTTGGCTGGCTCTAACATGGAATGTTTTGATTGCAGTTTTGGACTTTGAACAGATGCAATGTCAGGTGAGTGCAGCTCCATTCACCTACCTTTGGCCCCAGCTGTAGGCAACTGCCTAGGTTGTCTTGTACCTAGGCAAGTGTTCCACTGCTGGGAGAACAGCAGCCAGTAGCTGGTTGGCATTCTGGGCCTGGTTCATGCCAACGCTGTTGTTAACTATACCAGATGCCAGCATAGTTGCTTATCCACTCAGGTTAAATATGTAAGAACATGACTTTGTGGGGAGAAACCTAAAAATTCAGATCTCTCTGAGTGGTTCTGCCTCAACAGGTTTGGCTGGTGTTAATTTGTTTGAATTACACTTTGGAAACAGAAAAAAGGTAATAAAGCCATGAAAGGATGTATAAGTACAGAAGAAAGTCAGGTTTTTATTTTTTGAGTGCCTATCAAGTGTTCCAAGGACCAGGGAGGAAGTCCATAGGATTTTTGCTAATTTCACTGAAACTAAAGTTTATGACTCCCACTCCCCCACACCATAAAGCTAGACAGGATGATCCCTTTGTAGAGGGATTTCATAGCTGTGTTTATCTATGAGAATGCCTTATAGGGAAACATTGATGTGAATTTGCTTTAAAATCATGGGTATTGTTTAGTTCATTAATAAAATATAAAGATAGCAATTGATTGAGAGGCTTTAGACACTAGGCTTAGCTACAGCCATACTAATTTCTGCTTTAGGCTGACAGTATATTTGTGTTGGTTTTTTACTGATTTTCCAGGAGTGAACAGAGTTGTTGCCTCTTTGGAACAGTACATCTTGAGCCACTTGGTAGTGATTTTTGTTTTGGAATGCTAATTTTCTGAGAAGAGATGGTTCTCAGTTCTCAGCAAATACCACTCCGGGTGATGCTGGAGATTGTCCAATAGGGCTGCCTTAGTTGCTGCTTCTGTGAAAAGTAACATCCTAGTTTCCATAGGAGGAATTGGTGAGGATGTTGGGAGGCAGGGAAGTTATCAAAGATAGTTTTGTTCTATCGGTTGGCTTCCTCTTAAAAGGATTCTCTTAGCTAAAAGTTGAGTGCTTTGTTTGACTACCCCAGATATTCATCATGAATCTAACCTTTTATATATGAGATCTTTAGAGGGCTTGAGGGATGGTTAGTTTTAATGGTAGTCAGAGGCAAGAAAAAGGCAAATAATGGAAAATAAAATGATTTCTAAGGATATAAAATACGGTTAAATTATAAGTGGCAGGAGGCATTCTGTTTACAACTGTACAGGAAAGCAGCCTTAGGAGTTGCTGTTTTAGTCTGGGTTGTTGAACAGTGAAATCTTTTTCTTTTTAGGATGACTTGAAAGTAGGGCACCCTTGGCTATCTTGAAGAGAGGAAATTTGTGGCAGGTGGACAGTCTACGGAGTTTTCAGGTAAATGTCCCTATTCATTCCAACACTGACTATGTGTCAGACCTCTGTTAGTTGGTACCCAGCAGAAAACACTGAGAGGCAAAATTACCTACATTTGCCCCCAGTAAATTAAGCCTGATTACGGTTTTGATGGTTATGGTCTGAAGGCGTGTGGTGTCTTTTGAGAGTATCTGTATCATTCCATCTAAGGAATTTATAGGGAGATTGTAAATTTCATAAGGGAAAGAATACTGTATCTTGCATTATTCACTGCTAGATCCCAAGCACAGTGCCTGGCACATGGCTCGTATTTTCTGAATGTTGGATAAAATGACTGGAGGCATGGGAAAGGGATTCTTGTTTCCTATTCATTTAAAGGATTTGGCAGCAGGGTCTACAGTCAGTGCTTCCAGGCCTCTGTTTTGTAGTTAAGATTTAATTCAGGGAGATACCTGTGTCCATGTTTTTTGCCTTGGGTGCCTGGGAATCTGAAACAAATAAGCTGTTTCAAGAATTATCCAGCAGTTGTCAGCTATCCAGGCTAGCGTGATGCCTTGGATGGTGTTACACTGTTGGAAGAGCAAGCACTGCCTTTTGTGAGGTCTGGCTCCAGTCACTGTTTTGGTGTTGTAGCCAAGTACCTTTGGGCAGCGTTTTGCACCTCTGAGAGTGGAATAACTCCTCTTGTGGAGTTGGTCCTAGTCTGGGTGCGAACAATTTTTTTTTTTTTCCTTAGGAAAGGACCCCTGTTAGGGACAGCCTGTCATTCCTTTTCTCTGAACCCTAGGTGCCTTCACCTGAGAGCAGCCTGCCTCCATCAGGACCTCAGATGTCTGACAGACAGCCCTGTTTGGCACCAAGATAATTCATGTATGTAGTCCTTTTGTCATGTAGGTTCTAACTAACTTACTTCAGCTCTGATGGATAGTATGAAATAATAGAAAGAAATATATTGGTCTCTGCCCCTGGTTCTTGGCCCAGAGCTCCTAAAACACTTGCAACTTTCTAAGTGACAAGAGCACTTTGAGCACTTTGTGTTTAATACTGTTTTTCACTTTGGGTCCTGACTAGAGCTCCTAAATCTCATGGAATTTCCCTGCTGATAGGAGTGTCTTCTAATGGGGGCTGGTCACCAGAAAAACCAAGGACTGAAACTTAGAATTTTTTGTCTCACGGCGCCCGCCCCCCCATTCTCCAGAGAGGGCTGAGGGGATGGAAATGGAGTTGATCATTGATCATGCTTATGTGATGAAGCTTCCATAAAAATCCCAGTACTGTGGGATTCCGAGAACATTCAGGCTCATGAACACATGGAGGTGCTGGGAGAGGAATGCACCCAGAAAGGCTGTGGAAGCTTGGTACCCCTTTCCATGCACCTTGTCCTGGGCCTCTCTCCAGAAGTTCTGTGTCTTTTATCATACTTTGGTAAATAGTAAGTACACAGTTTTCCTGAGCTCTGAGCTGCTCTAGCACATTAGTTCAAACTGAGGAGGTGGTTGTGGGAAACTTCAGGGGGATATTTTGTTGTGTTTTTTGTTGTGTTTTGTTTTTTAATCCTTACCCCCAAATATGTGTTTTCTGATTGGAGAGAGAAGCACTGATTGGTTGTCTTCTGTATGTGCTCCAGTGGGAAATCAAACCCACCACCTTTGGTGTATGGGATGATGCTCCAACCAAGCCACCCAGCGGGTGCGGAACCTCCAATTTTTATCCTCTCAGTCAGAAGCATGAGGACAACTGGACTTCTGATTTGACAGTGGATGGGGGACAGTCATAGGGAATGTGTCCTTAACCTGTGGTATCTGTTGCTGTCTCCAGCTGCAGATAGTGTCAGAATTGAGTTAAATTGTAGGAAACCCAGCCGGTGACACAGATTTCCTTGGTTTGGGAAAAAAACAACATATCTGGTGTCAGAAGTGTTGAGAGTGTGGTAGTAGTGTGAGAACAAAAGAAAAACAGAAGTGAGGTTTTCTTTCAGGTGGAAAACAAAACTTAAACTAAGCTCTCATTTCCTAGAGCTCTGCTATGCAATACATGTGGCTATTTGAATGGACAAAAATTAAATAAAATCAGTTTCTCCATCTCAGTATCTAGTGACTACCATATTGGAAAGCTCAGAATAATTCCATCAATGCAGAAAGTTTTATTATACACTGTTATTCTAGAGAAGGGGTTGGCAATCTTCCTGTAAAGAGCCAGATAATGTTTTAGGTTTGTGCGCCACATAATCTGTGTTGCAACTACTCAGCTCTGCAGTTGGCATTGTACAAGCAGCCATAGACACCATGGCAGCAAGTGAGCATTCTTGTGTTCCAATAAAACTTTATTTATGGCTTCTGAAATTAAAATTTCATAAAATTTTCAGTGTTGCAAAAATTATTTCCCCCCAAACTATTTTAAGCTTAAGGGTCTTTTAAAAACAGATGACAGGCCAGAATTGGCCTGCAGGCTATAGTTTAGCAAGCCCTGTTCTAGAGAACGAAATTTAGGCCTTGAGACTTGACACCTCATTAGTGACAGATTCAGGGCTAGTGCTAACATGGGAAAAACTCCATGTTAGCAATACTACCATACAACGTTCAACTCCTCAGCTTTTAGAGGACTAACGTGACTTTAGTAGAACAGTCCTTTCTTCAAAATATTTATTTATTCATTCATTCGTTCATTCCTTCATTTATTCATCATTCATTCATTCATTTATATGATGGAGAGAAACATCAGTGTGAGAAACATTGGTCATGCACCCCCAACTGGGGGCTGGCCTGCACTGCAACCCAGGCATGTGCCCAGACTGGGGATCAAACCGGTGACCCTTTGGTTTATAGGCCAGCACTCAATCCACTGAGTCACACCAGCCAGGGCAGAATAGTCCTTATTTCTTATATTTGGTCTATGTATACCTTTTGCATGGATTACTTTTATCATAGTGGTTCTCCTTTTAATGTACACCTAAGAAAGAGGTCCTAAGAAAGAAGAGCAGTCTTTAATTTTCTCCAGAGCCTGATCACAGTCTCAGTCCTAGATAGTGAAATAGAAATGGCTTCTAAAGGGAAATACTTACATATCATGAATAGTCAGGGTTTAAAATAGGGGATCTCAGTTCCCTGGAGCAGATTGCCTTCCTGACCATGGTAATGCTACCCAGGTGCAGAGAGAGGTCCCTGTGTTGCTACTTGAAAAGGGATACTTTATTTGGTATTTGTGCCTGTATTTAATACCCTAAGAGGTTTCAATGGCTTAATCATGCACATTAAGGTAATTTAATGGGATTTCCTTCTTGATAAGTGAAGTTAATTAGTCACCTACTACTCCCTGTTGACTTGATTTTTTTTAACCCCCTGGTGAGTCTAAGAAAATGAAATAAAACATTTCCAAGGAGCTTTTTTTTATCCATTCCTTCTCTTTCCTTTTTTTTACCCCCCTATGTTGTGATGGAAACTGGAATTGGACTGGCAGATTTACCAGTCTAAATATTCAAGCTTCCACCTTTGGCCATAGGTAGCCATCAGTAAACACAAGTGCTCCTCTTTGTTGCATATTAAGAGGAAAACTAAAAAGTGGCAATGAGCCCAGGGTGGTATAGCCCAGTGGATTGGGCACGGGCCTGCGAACCCAAGCATCACCGGTTTGATTCCCAGTCAGGGCACATGCCTGGGTTGCAGGCCAGGTCCCCATTATGGAGTGTGCTAGAGGCAACCATACATTGATGTTTTACTCCCTCTCATTCTCCCTCCCTTTCTTTCTTTTTTTTTTTTTAATTAATTAATTTTTTTAAATTGATTATGCTGTTACAGTTGTTCTATTCCCCCTTCATTCTCCTCCACCCTGCCCCCCCAACCCCACCATTACCCCCCTTTAGTTTATGTCCATGTGTCTCAAGTCCTTTAGGTTCTATATTTCCCATGCTATTCTTGCCCCCCCCCCATCTATTTTCTATCTACTGTCTATGCTACTTGTTTTCTGTACCTTCTCCCCCCATCTCCTCCTCCCACTCCCCTGTTGCTAACCCTCCTTGAGATCTTCATTTCTATATTTCCACTCCTGATCTAGCTGTCCTTTTAGTTTGCTTTCGTTTTAGGTGTGGTTGTTAATAACTGTGAGTTTGTTGTCCTTTCACTGTTCATGTTTCTTTAACTTCTTTTTCTTAGGTAAGTCCCTTTAACATTTCATATAATAAGGGCTTGGTGATGATGAACTCCTTGAATTTGGTCTTATCTGAGAAGCACCTTATCTGTCCTTCCATTCTAAATGAAAGTTTTGCTGGATAGAGCAATCTTGGTTGTAGGTCTTTAGATTTCATGACTTGGAATACCTCTTTCCAGCCCCTTCTTGCCTGTAAGGTCTCTTTTGAGAAATCTGCTGACAGTCTGATGGGAACTCCTTTGTAGGTGACTGTCCCCTTAGCTCTTGCTGCTTCTAGGATTCTCTCCTTCATTTTAATTTTGGCTAATGTAATTATGATATGCCTTGGTGTGTTTCTTCTTGAGTCCAACTTTTTTGGTACTCTCTGGGCTTCTTGGATTTCTTGGAAGTCTATTTCCTTTGCCAGATTGGGGAAATTTTCTTTTATTATTTGTTCAAATAGTTTTTCCACTGGTGGTTTTGTCTTTCCCCCTTCTGGTACCCCTATAATTCGGATATTGGAGCGTTTAAAGATGTCCTGGAGGTTCCTAAGACTCTCCTCATTTCTTTGAATTCTTGCTCCTTGACTCTTTTCTGCTTGGCCATTATTTGGTTTCTTCTGGTCCACTCCATTGATTTGAGTCCCAGTTTCCTTTTCATCTCTATGGGTTTCCTGTGGAATTCCATTCATTTCCCTTAATTTAGCCTTCATATGTTTCTCTAATTTGTGGCTATAATCAACCAGATCTGTGAGGAAGCTGATGACCAGTGTTTTAAACTGTGCGTCTGAGAGTTTTGCTATTTCTTCGTCGCTTAGATTTATCTGTGGGGCTTTGAGGTCTTCCTGCGACATTTTTGGTCTGTTCTGGCCCTTTAAGTGGGAGAAGCGGCGCCTTGGAGTCCCAGGTCGCTTGGTTGTGACGCTGTATGTGGGGGCGTGGTCAGAGCGGGGGAAATGGCGGCGCAGTCTATCGCTGCCGCGGCCGGTCCAACCGCCCACTCCCTCGCTCACGCGCAATTAGGCAACCGCAGTCAACACGCTGCACCTCCTCCCCACTGTCTCCTCTGCAGTCGCTCACCCGGTGGGTTGCTCGGTCGCTCACTAGGTCCAATCCTGGGTTTGGAACCCGTGCGACTGGATTCGCGCGTCTGGATTCCGCGCCCGGGTCGATCGAGCTCTCCTTTGTAACTCCTCACCAGACGCCGGTTTCGCCCCTTACCAGTCGGGCTGAAGAATTTGTTGTTAGCGGACTTCCGAAAAGTTCAGTTTTCCGTGTTCTGGTTGTGTTTTCTGATGCTAATATTTAGTTGTCCCTAAACTTGGTTGTGTGAGGAGGCACGGCACATCCACCTAAACCTCCATCTTGGCGGAAGTCCCCCTTTCTCTCTTTCTAAAAATAAATAGAATCTTAAAACTAATAATAAAATAAATTTAAAAAAAAAGACATCTCTAAAAGCTGTGAAAAGCTCCCTAACACATCCCTAGACTGCCTTGGCTCTACCACTTTCAAGTTGTATGGCCTTTGCTAAAGTACTCAAGCTCTCATTTTTTTAAAAAAGGTGACAATGACTCCTGTTAATCTAATCTTGCTGCTTAACTGGGGCTTTGTATATCGCTCTAGTTAATGGTCCTGTCAATATTCTCTTGGGAAACAATTTCACTAAATTAACAACTTAACTATAATACTTAGAATGTCTGCTTAAAAACAACTTTCTGTTTATTGCTATTTTAATGAGCCAGTGTGTTGGGTCATGTATTTGTTCATTGAGTACATTAAGGCCTGGTTTAAAGGGGACACTGTTACTTTGGCCCTGCCTGTTCTCCAGTAAAATCCCTTTGGGGTATGAGGATGTTCTGTACTACTTGTACTACATGGGAAGGGAGTAATAAAATGGACCTTGAAATTTCTTTTTCTTTAGAATAGTTGTAGATGTTGTGAAGATAGTACAAAGAATTCCTGCATACCCCACACGCAGTTTCCCCTAATAGTAACATTTTACATTAGAATAGTGCATTTGTGACAATGAATGGGCCAATGTCATACATTATTAACAGAAGTCCATACTTTACTCTGATTTCCTTAGTTTTTATGTAATGTCCTTTCTCTTTTCTTTGACCCCATTGAAGATACATTTAGTTATCATGTCTCTTTAGGCACCTCTTTGCTATGACAGCTTCTTAGACTTTATACACAGCTTCTTAGACTTTATACTTGTTTTTGTTGACCTTAAGTTTTTAGTCAGGTATTCTGTACAACGTCCTTTGGTTAGGATCAAGCTTTTCTCATGATTAGTTTGGGCTTAAGAGATTTTGAGAGGACGACCACAGCAGGAAAGTGCAATTTTCATCACATAATCAGTAATATAGCCCTGGCTGGTATGGCCCAGTGGATTGAGTGACAGGTCATCAGTTCAATTCCCAGTCAGGCACATGCTTAGGAAAATCTTAAAAAAAAAAAAAAAAAAAGTATACCTAACTGCTGTGGCTCAGTTGGTTGGGCATCATCCCGCAAAGTGAAAGGATTTCCAGTCAGGGCACATGCCTGGGTTGTGGGTTTGGTCCCTGGTGGGACCAATGAGAGGCGACCAATCCATGTTTCTCTCTCACATTGATACTTCTCTCCCTTTCTTCCTCCCTTCCCCTCCCTAAAAATAAAGAAAATTCTTTTTAAAAATACATAGTATTAGTGTGATTTGTTACTGTTGATTTTAGCCTTGGTCACCTGGCTGAGGTCTTACTTGCCAAGTTTCTCCACTGTAAAATTCCTCCTCTTCATCCAGTACTGTTCCCTTTCCTTTTTTTTATTTACTGATTTTAGAGAGAAACATCTGTTTGTTGTTCCACTTATTTTTACATTCATTGGTTGACTCCTGTATGTGCCCTCACTGGTGATCTAACCCATGAGCTTGGCATATTGGGATGATGCTCTAACCAACTGGGCTATGTGGCCAGAGCCCCAATACTGTACTCTTCATAATCACTGTGTGCAGCCTACACTTAAGGAGAGGAGAGTTTTGCCCTCCTTCCTTAAAGATGGAATGTGCACATAGGTTACTTAGAATTTGTCATAAAGAAATTGATCTTTTACCCTCATTCAGTCAACTTTTTTTTTAAAGATGTTACTTAATTTTTTTTTAAGATTTTATTTATTTATCTTTAGAGGGGGAAGGGAAGGAGAGAGGGAGAGATATCAATGTATGGTTGCCTCTTGTGGGTCCCCTACCGGGAACCGGCCTGCAACCCAGGCATGTGCCCTGACTGGGAATCGAACCGCAATCCTCTGGTTCGCAGGCCCGAGCTCAATCCACTGAGCTACACCAGCCAGGGCTATTTACTTAATTTTACAAGAGGGAAAGGAAGGGCAGAGAGGGAGAGAAACATTGATGTACAAGAGATACATCAGTCAGTTGCCTCTTGCATGTACCCCCACTGGGACATGGCCCACTACCCAGGCGTGTACCCCGACTGGGAATTGAACCAGTTACCTTTTGGTTCATAGGTCAGGACTCAGTCTACTGAGCCACACCAGCCAGGACTCATGCAAGTTATTTATATAACAATGGGCTCATGGATACTTAACTGTGTACTTGGGGAAATAATCCTATAATAGTTTATTTTTAAATTGTTCCAGCCCTGACCATTTGGAGCTGTTTCGGTTGGCTCCTGTGTCTTTTCAGTATGCCCCCGTCATTGCAGGGTTATGTTTTTAAGGGCTTCTCACTTTATGGTACTACAGAATGCTCCAGGCTCATCTTTTATTTTTCCTGTCCCAATTTCAGTGTCAACCAGTTATTGAAAGGGCCCTAGTTCCTTTATAATTTAATGGCATTGAGGAACCAAGATCTGGGTGCCAGATGTGCTAACACCTATATGGTAGGACACAGTACCTCTTGATGCTGAGGTGTTGCTCTAGGCCCTGTCTAGAAGATAGAACAATGAGATATATGTGATGCTAACTAGGATCCATAGTTCATTGCCTCCTTTATGTTACAAACATTCCATTTTTAATATTCAATACATTTTATCCCATTGCCTTTGTTTATTCTCTTTAGAATAGGGATTGAGTCTGTCATCTCTTACAGTGGATACTGTATTCCCCAAGTGATTGATATTTTCTACCCTAGAAGCTTACAGTAAAGGCTGAGAATTTTCTTACCAGTTTCTGGTAAAAGGGAGGGGCCAAGCCCAGGTCCTAGTGTTCTAATGAGTTGAAGGAGAAGGGAGATGCCCTCAAGACACAGGCTCTGCATTAGAATCATGGCTTTACCTTGGCAGATATTAGAACTTCCTCTACTTCCCCTCAGTTGTAATTCTCTAGAGGAGAACTCAAGGGCCTAAGTAAAGTTGTGACATTGGCCACTCCAGACAGTGATGGTTTAGACATGAGGCAATGAACAGGAGAGGGAAAGGACATAATAGAAAAGCTTTGTCTCAGCCTATACTACCACTCCCATGGTATTCTACCCTTTTCTGCCTGGGTTTTCCAATCTGCTTCTCCAGAGGATGTTTCACATTACATTTGTCACATCCCAAACCCCTCTTTGTATAATATCTTCATGGGTATGTTAGAGGAAGAAATAACCCATGCCAGTCACTCATCTTGTCGTCAAAAGACTGGTCTTTTAACTCATACCTTTTCACAGCTTTTATCCACTGAACTCAATGCTAGACTTTGGGGATAAGCAGTGAACAAGATACAGTCCCTGCTCACCTTAACTTAACATGCCAGGACTTGTACAGTCTATCCCTTAACTCTCACCCCTTCTATCACCCTCAGGTTACCTTCTGGCCATACTGGTTTCTTTCAGGCTTTTATAATAAGCCTTTTGAACCCTGCCTGGTATGGCTCAGTGGATTGAGCACAGGCTTGCAAACCTAGGGGTCATGGGTTTGAGTACCGGTAAGGGCACATGCCTCGGTTGCAGGCCAGGTCCCCAGTTGGGGGGCGCATGAGAGGCAACCTCACATTGAATGTTTCTCTTTCTCTCTTTCCCTCTGTGTATAAAAATAAAATTTTAAAAAGCCTTTTGAGACTAGGTCTCTCTGCACATACTGTTTCTCTTTCTGGTTCAATTTTTCTTCTCCACTTTGTCTAAGATCTCAGCTGCAAATCTGCAGAGAAGCCACCTTCCCTGACTGTCTGAACACCCAGTATATGTGTCATTGCACCATGTTTTACCACAGAACCAGAGTCAGATGCTATGCAAGAGTTCTTTGAAAAGGCATTCTCCAGCTTTGAAAGGTATATTCTAAAGGTTATATTCTCACTCCCATATAACCAAGCAGCCTCAATTCTACTGACAACTAACTAAAGAGCTTTAGCTAGTAAATATTAATAGCTATGTCTAATGTACCCTAGAGGAAGGCCCTAGGAATATCCTGCTTTTCAACAATACCCAAGTAAATGTAATGGGAGTGCTAGTTTTGTTCTTTTTAAAAAACTGTGCCGTGGCCAGGTGGCTGTGTTGGAGCATCGTCCTGTACAATAAAACACAAAAGGTTGTGGATTTAATTCCTGGGTGGGGCATGTACAGGAGGCAGCTGATCAGTGTTTCTCACATCTATGTTTCTCTCCCCTTCTCTCTCTAACATCAATGAATATAACCTTGGGTGAGGATTGAAAAAAATGATTTTTTGAAACAAAAAATGGAAACAAAGGTCAGATTTCTAAGTCATTTGCTAGTGGACCTTAAAGATAGATCATAGTGCACGGTTACATGAAACTAAATTTAGTCTCAAAAAGTATTAAATGAAAATAACGGATTTACAGAGGATTTGTTCAAATTTAAGACATCTGTTAACTATATGTGTGGACTTTTGTTACTTTTGGTAACATATAAGTGTTTTCATCACTAAGAAAATTTGTGAAACATCTTTATAAATTATAACTGACAAGTAGGTGCCAAGATGAAACTTTGAACCAGATTTAAATGGATAATTTTAACATATTTACTGTGGAATTCTATAAAAATGAATAATCTTTGAATCTATGGTTTTGTCATTTTAGCATATTTATGTAAACATTCTGCAGAACATGTGGCAATTTAGAAAATTGACAACATTCACTGTAAATTGACCATGTTCCAGAACTGCTAATAAGTTTATTCTATACATCTCTTAATCCTCTCAACAAATCTCTATAAGGTACATGTTGTTATTTACCCAAGGTCACACAGTTAGTAGATCCAAGAACTAATGTGGTATTCAATGAATTTCCAAAGCTAGTGGTTGGTTTGGGGCTTTCATCTATAGAGCCCCAAGTCTTTCCAATTAATTGTTATAAATATCTACTTGTGTTTACCATCATCAACCTCATTTGGACTAACGTCTTTCAGGGACTACTGAAATGTCTGTCTTCTAGTGTTTTTATACCTATTAAAATTCCAGATACCTTTTTTCAGGCCATCAGCATCTTAGCCACTCTTGGTGTAGCTTGAGGATGATTCCTTTTTCTCAGTGGATTGAGCACCAGCCTGCAAACTGAAAGGTCAGTGGTTCAATTCCTGGTCAGGGCACATGTCTGGGTTGTGGGTTCAGTGCCCAGTTGAGGTACATACAAGAGGCAACCAATCAATGTTTCTCTCACACATATATGTTTTTCTCACTCTTCCTCCCTTCCCCTCTCTCATAAATAAATAAAATAATTTTTTAAGAATAAATGAATGTCCCTCTGGAGGGCCTGAATGGGTCACACATTCCTGCTCCTAGTCTTGCCCTATGACAGGGTTTATCAATTCTATTAAATTCTTCAAGGATTGATGTTGTGTTTTCTTTTTAACTTCACATATATACTGGTACATACCTGCTAAATAAAGGGATAAAGACTTTATCAGTGGATACACCTTATAAACAAACCCTTCTGTAATTACACAATACAAAGGAAGGTCATTTACAGATTATTTAAGAATACACTGAGAATATTTGCAATCTCAAAAATTATATAATCTCTATAGCTTTAAAATGGCATTTGCTAAAATTGCCGAGAATCAAAAGATTCCTAACCTGATAAAAATGTATCTTACTCCAAAAGCCTATGTAATGCATAATAGGGAAACTCTAGAATTGTTCCTGTTGAAAAAGAGACCTTCATTCAGAGAGAGTCAGGCAAGAGAAGACAGTGAAACATGTAAATGGGAAAAAAGATAAAAATCGCTTATAGATGGTGAATTACTTAAGTACTGCAAGTGTCAATTGAAAATAGTTAATTCAACTAGCAAGTAATCAGTTTGAAGCTAAACTGGAAGGAAAATAAAACTTGAAATATTTGAGACGTATAAGTTGCATACAAAGAAAACATTAAAATATTGATAAGCAAATGAGACTTTAAATGGTAAGCTATACCAAGTCCAAGAAATCTCAACATAAAAATAATTCTAAAGAAAAATAAGTTTAAAAAAATCTGAGTAAAAATAACAGGAATATAAAAAAAATAACGAATATTTTTGGAGCTAGACAAATTGATTCTAACATGCATTTGGAAAACTATAATGTGCAGAATTTTGAGTCATAAAGGAAAACTAGGCCTATGGCATATGGAAATATTGCAAAAAGAGTAAAATGGGGTGGTCCTGGCACCTGAATACCTTACTCAATGAATAGAACAGATAAAGTCTAGAAATACCTGGCTGGTTCTTGGTGGGTTGAGTGTTGGCCTGCTAGTCAAAGGATTGCTGGTTCGATTCCCAGTTGGGGGTGTACAAGAGGGAACCACACTGATGTTTCTCTCCCTCTCTTTCGCCCTCCCTTCTCTCTCTAAAAATAAATAGATAAAATCTTTAAGAAAAAAATCCTTAAAGAAAAAAATAAAGTCTAGAGATAGACCCTGAGACAAATTGTAAAAAGTACAGGCAGTTTTGTTCTTTATATTAATTGTGTAGTAAGTTTGCCTTCTAAGTTAAAAAGAAAATGAAGAATATTTAAAAAGAATGGATGATGTGACTAGATGTTAAAGATTCTGTATGCAAAAACAACATACAGAACGTTTGCCAGAGGATAATTCTTCTTTAATTTCTATAAATCAAAAAGTGAAAGCTCAACAACCCAATAGATAAATGGGCAAAAGATAGGAATAGTTGAAAGATGATACTTAACCTCAGCTAAAGCAAATAAAATCCATAGTTGAGATTCCATTCTCTAGCAGTCAATTTTCAAATGCATTTCAATAGCAGCTAATAAAGGAATGGAGAAACAGGCACTCATTGGTTCAGAGAAAATTGGTGTAATCATTAAGGAGGGCAATCTACTATTTAACACATCTGACTAAGCAATTCTAATGCAATAAAAAGAATGTTTTGTGACATTAAAATTATGATATTCCAATTTTATTTTTAAATATGTTTTATTGATTATGCTATTACAGTTGCCCCATTTCCCCCCTTCATTCCTCTCCACCCTGTACATGCCCTCCACCCACATTCCCCCACTTTAGTTCATTTCCCTGTGTCATAAGTTCTTTAGCTTCTATACTTCCCATACTATTCTTGCCCTCTCCCTGTCTATTTTCTATCTACCGTCTATGCTACTTATCCTCTGAACCTTTCCCCCTCTCTCCTCCTCCCACTCCCCTGTTGCTAACCCTCCATGTGATCTCCATTCTCTGGTTCTGTTCCTGTTCTAGTTGTTTGCTTAATTTGCTTCTGTTTTAGATGTGGTTGTTAATAACTGAGTTTGCTGTCATTTTACTACAGGTGTTTTTTATCTTTTTCTTAGATAAGTCCCTTTAACATTTCATATAATAAGGGCTTGGTGATGATGAACTCCTTTAACTTGACCTTATCTGAGGAACGCTTTATCTGTCCTTCCATTCTAAATGAAAGCTTTGCTGGATAGAGCAAATCTTGGTTGTAGGTCCTTGCCTTTCATGACTTGGAATACTTCTTTCCAGCCTCTTCTTGCTTGCAAGGTCTCTTTTGAGAAATCAGCTGACAGTTTGATGGGAACTCCTTTGTAGGTGACTGTCCCCTTATCTCTTGCTGCTTCTAGAATTCTCTCCATTTTAATCTTGGCTAATGTAATTATAATGTGCCTTGGTGTATTCTTCTTTGGGTCTAACTTATTGAGAGTTTCTGAGCTTCCTGGATTTCCTGGAAGTCTATTTCCTTTGCCAGATTGGGGAAGTTCTCCTTTATTATTTGTTCAAATAAGTTTTCTGCTTGTTGTTCTTCCTCTTCCCCTTTTGGTACCCCTATAATTCGGATGTTGGAATGTTTAAAGATGTCCTGGAGGTTCCTTAGCCTCTCCTCAATTTTTCAAATTCTTGTTTCTTCATTCTTTTCTGTTCGGTCATTTTTTTCTTCCTTTTGGTCCACTCCATTGATTTGAGTCCCAGTTTTCCTTTCCATCACTATTGGTTTCCTGTGCTTTTCCCTTCATTTCACTTAGTTTAGCCGTCATTTATTCCTCTAATTTGTGACTAAATTCAGTTCTGTGAGCATCCTGATCACCAGTGTTTTGAACTGTGCATCTGATAGGTTGGCTATCTCTTGGTTGCTTAGAAGTATTGGCTCTGGGGCTTTGAGCTGTTCTTCTTGAGCCATAATGTTTTGGTCTGTTTGTGCTTGTTATGTATGAGGGGCAGAGCCTTAGGTGTTCACTGGGCGGGTCAGCCCAGACCCTGGGTTGTGATGTTGTATGTGCAGGCGGGGTCAGAGAGGGGCAGTGGTGTTTGTTCTGCTCTCTCTTTGATTTTGGTCTCCTCTGCTGCTTCCCGCAAGCAAATTGGGCCCTTCTGGTGCTGGTTCCCGGGTGTGTGGGTTTGTGCACCCTCCAGGACCCTGTGGGTCTTTCCAATGAACTCTCTGTGAGCCTGGGAGCTCTTCCAGCACCTCGACCCCAAAAGTTTTCCCAATCGGTGCTTTTAGGCTTTATTTCCTGGCACTGGGCCCTGGCTTGCACTGTCTGTGTCACTGCTCTCTCCTCTGCCTGGTTTATCTGCGCACGAATGTGTGACCATGGTCAGCCAGCCGCCCCATGCCCTCACTGGGTCCTCCTGTTGCCACCCCACACCTGGGATCCACCGCCACCTGCTCACCTGGGTTGGCTGTACACCTTTTCCTGTACAACCTCGCTCCACCAGCCGATGGCTCCACCCCTCTTACCTGTCTGGCTGAATGGTTCGTTATTGCCAGACTTCTGTACAGTTCCTGTGTTCTATGTTTTGGTTGCATTTTTGTTACTAAAACTTCGTTGCCTTTAAAATTGGTTGTTCGAGGAGGCACAGTGTTTTCACCTATGCCTCCATCTTGGCCAAAGTCCTGATATTCCATTTTTAATGTTAAGAACAGTCAGCCTTGGCCATGTAGCTGAATTGGTTAGAGCAGCCTCCCAATTTGCCAAAGTTGTGGGTTCAATCCCCATTCTGGGCATATATAAGAATCAACCAATGAATTGCATAAATAAGTGGAACAAATTGCTGTTGCTCCCCTCTCCCTAAAGTCAATAGATTAAAAGACACACAGCAGTCTGACTGCTTTTTCTGACAGATCACATGCCCCATAAGCCTAAAATTTCATTTGTCCCTTTACAGAGACTTTGCCTGCTCCCTGCTCTAGAATAGCATTGTATGAAAAAGATTTCTGCAATCACAAAAGTGTTCTCCCAGTTTCTGCTATCTAAGTGTAGATAGTAAGGTTGAAAAAGAGAGTGTAGCTTATGATTGTTAAACTGTGGACAGTGTAGCTCTAGAAAATAAAGGGTTTATTTTGAACTACACATAGTTTTACATGTGTAGAATAATATGTGCATGAATTTCTTATCACTGTTTTGAATAGCAGAAAATAGGAAAATTTTTAAATTGTAAGTTGGAAGAACATTGCTTAAATTTTATACCATCCATATAATGGAATACTAAGCAGACTTAATGAAAGATAACCAAAGAAGTAAAATGAGAACAGTGTATAGTCTTAAAGCTTTGTTTAATGTATCACTGCATAACAAAGCACCTTAAAATTTTTTACTAGTTCAAACAGGTGTCAAACTACTGTGGGTTAATTGGACTTAGCTGGGGCTACAGCTGTCTGGTGGCTTCAGTTTGCCTGGCAGTTGGCCCTGGCTGTCACCAGGAGCTCAGCTGGGCCTCTACACTGAAGTGCCATGGTTCTGTTGATGTGTAGCCTTCTCATGTTGGTTGAGATTTTCACCACATGGCAACTGGGTTCCAGGTGGTTGAAAGCAGACCTTAAAAGTCACTTACGCATTCTGATGGTCAAAACCAATTACAGGTTCCTTCCAGATTCGAGCAGAGGGGAAATTGATGTCTCTAGTCCATGAGAAGAGTGGAATTCATGGTTGTCTTTAACTCATCATATTATGTGCACACACAAAATGTTTAGATATTTACCCTGGCCGGGTGGCTCAGTTGGGGCATTGTCCCAGTGTGCCAAGGTTTTGAGTTCGATCCAGGGTCAGGGCAAGTACAGGAGTCAACCAATGAACGCATAAAGGGGTAGAGCAACAATGTTTTTCTCCCTCCCTCCTTCCACTCTGTCT